GGGGGGGAGTCAAGATAGCAGCCACAAATGTTCCCACCTCCACAGACACCCGGCAGTGGCAGTGGGCAAGGAAGGACAGTCCACGATGGGGGTCTGTCCGGAGCACCCCCTACTTTGGGTAGAAATGCTGAGTTCTGCATTCACCGGCAGGACTCAGAGGTCAAAGGGCACCCCCCCTCCCTCGTGTGTCTCTATCCTCCTATTTCCAAAGAAGTTCAGGCTTTTCTAGTGTCACGAACAAAATTATTCCGTTGTGTGTTTCCCCTGGGAACGCTCCTCCTCCTCCTTGTCTGCCAGCCTGGAATCCCTCCAAGGGACGGGAGAAAACGGCCATCGCAACAGGACAGCTCGGACAGGGAAGTCCCCAAAGGAAGAAGAAGCCACAGAAATGTCTGTGCCTTCAGTGGTGCTGATGAGGTTGTGGTTTGGCCACCCTCGGTGTCACCTACGCACACTTTTTTCACACCCGTCTTCCACGCTCCTCTTGCACAGGGGAAGCCCGGCACCTCTAGGTGCCTGGTGGGGAGGGGTCCCCACAGCCTTCCTACCTGGTGGCCCACAGGTGCTTTTCAAAAGGCAACTGGACTTTATTGGGTTTTTTTCCTTGAAAAGCTTCTTCTCCTCCAAGAAGAAACATTTCCAGTTGCTTTTTGGAAAAGCACCTTTGGGGCAACCATGATCTGGATGGCTAAGAATCTCCATAGACCAGGAGTAGGCCACCTTGGCTCTTTTATGCCTCGTGGACTTCAACTCCCAGAATTCCTGAGCCAGCCATGCTGAGGGGAAAGGGAGAGGTTTCCAAGCTGAGCCAGGCTGACTGAGGAATTCTGGGAGTTGAAGTCCACGAGTCATGAGGGGGCCAAAGTTCCCCCATGCTGGCTGAGGAATTCTGGGAGTTGAAGTCCACCAGTCATGAAGGGGCCATAGTTCCCCCATGTTGGCTCAGGAATTCTGGGAGTTGAAGTCCACGAGTCATGAAGGGCCAAAGTTCCCCCATGCTGGCTGAGGAATTCTGGGAGTTGAAGTCCACAAGTCATGAAGGGGCCATAGTTCCCCCATGATGGCTCAGGAATTCTGGGAGTTGAAGTCCACGAGTCATAAAAGAGCCAAGGTTGCCTACCCCTGCGCATAGACAGTTGGGGAGTTGTGTTCCAACCTAGAACCAAGGAGAAACTACCTGATAGGGAGAGTAATTAGCCAGGGGAACAGCTTGCCTCCAGAAGTTGTAGGTGCTCCATCACTGGAGGTTTTTAAGAAGAGATTGGACAGCTATTTCTTCAGAATGGTATAAAGTCTCCTGCGTGAGCAGGGGGTTGGACTAGACGACCTTCAAGGTCCCCTCCAACTCTGTTTTTCTGTTCTGTTCTGGTTCCGCCACCCCCCAGGACTGACTAAGCTCTTCTCTGCTGAGCCTCCCAGTTGGGACCCTCTGGGTGGCTGAGCACACAGACCCCTCCCCCCTTCCAGCTGCCCTTCACCTGAGGGATTGATCAAAGGGATTGATCAAAGCCTCTCCTCCTCAAGTAACTTCCGGTCAGCTTCCCCCCCCCCCTCCATGGGACTATGGGAGACGGGGGGAGCGTGACCCCCAGGCCCTTGCAGGGACTTGCTCAAGGCAGGAGAGAGGGGCTCCAGGTGACCAAGGCAGAAGAAGACGGCAGAAGAACTCATGGGCAGGGGACGATCCTATGTCAGGCGCAAAGGATCAGGACCACTAGTTAAGTTGCAGTACAGAAAATTGATCCGTAGTTCTCAACGTACAACGGTTCATTTAGTGACCATTCAAAATTACGACAGCACTGAAAAAATTGACTTATGAGCGTTTTCCACACTTACGACCGTTGCTGCATCCCCGTGGTCACGTGATTAGAATTCAGACGCTCAGCAACTGGTTCATACTTATGACCGTTGCAGTGTCCTGGGATCGTGTGATCCTCCTTTTGCGAACTTCTGACAAGGGGAAGCCAGATTCACTTAACGACCGGTTGTTACTAACTTAACAACTGCAGTGGTTCACTTAAAAACTGTGGCAAGAAATGTCATTAAATAGGGCAAAACTCACTTAACAAATGTCTCACTTAACAACATAAATTTCAGGCTCAGTTGTAAGTCAAGGACTACCTGTATTCAAGCCGATACACAAAAATCTGGGCAATTAATGTTCAATACTGAATTGGCGGAAGATGAGGGTCAACGGAGTTCAAGGGGGATGCGTGGACTTGGATCCTTTGTGCCCACTTAAGGACTCTAAGCTGGTGACCTGTTTAACTCCGCCACCCCCCAGCTCTGCCTGTTGTCCTCCTACATCCGGCTGCTGAGAGGTCATCATCCTAGGCGGGGGGGACATCTGGTCAAGGGACAGAGCTGGTCATCTCCTCCGTTTGCCAACCCGGGGGCTGAGGAGGTTGGCAGCTGGGTGACAACGGCCAGATCCCAGGCCGTTTCCGAGCATTTCATCCAAGAAAATCCCGGAGGTTCGTCTTCCAATAAATCCAACTCAAATGTCAAAGCTAAATAAACAGTGGAGGATTGGCTGGATCAGGAAGCTACAAGATCTGCTTTACGTTCTCAGAAATGGGAATGGCCCACCCAGAGGTCCCGTCCGGGGTGCATGGCCGAGCCGGGGTTGTCCCCCAGACCCCATTCCCCACCCCAGATTCCTCTCCCTACCCCAAGGGGAAGCCAGGGGAAGACCCATAGAGCGCCTTCCTGCCTCTAGGGAGGAACTTTAGTCACTTCTGGGAAGAGGGCTCGGAACGCCCGTGGCTGACCCGGCTTTTCTTCTAGGACACCCAGAAACGTCCTCTGAATTCCCACAGCAGGAGAGTTGAAGCATTGGCCGTCAACCCTCCTTGGTGAATAATCCTCCATTTGCAGCTTTCCCAGCCCCCAGCACGTCTCAGGAGCAGCTTTTGGGGATTTCTATCTCTGTGTAGAAAAACCAGGGAAGTAAGATTAAGGGGGGGGGAGCCCTGCATCAAATGAGCACAAAGCAGAATCCAAGGGCTGGAAGTTCGGATATCGGAGGTCCCTTCCGTGTTGTTCAGCCCCACAAGTAGTGAATGGCAACTGGGGGGGTGGTCTGTGTGCTCAGCCACCCAGAGGGTCCCACGCCCTCTTTCAGCTGGGAGGGTCAGCAGAGAAGAGCCTGCTCAGTCCTCGGGGAGAGGGGAGGAAGACAGAACAGAGTAACAGAGCTGGAAGGGACCTTGGAGGTCATCTAGCCCAACCCCCTGCTCAAGGCAGGAGACCCTATGCCAGGGGTCAGCAACCTTGGCTCTTTTATGACTCGTGGACTTCAACTCCCAGAATTCCTGAGCCAGCCATGCTGAGGGGAAAGGGAGAGGTTTCCAAGCTGAGCCATGCTGGCTCAGGAATTCTGGGAGTTGAAGTCCACGAGTCATGAGGGGGCCATAGTTCCCCCATGCTGGCTGAGGAATTCTGGGAGTTGAAGTCCACGAGTCATGAAGGGGCTAAACTTTCCCCAATGCTGGCTCAGGAATTCTGGGAGTTGAAGTCCACGAGTCATGAGGGGGCCATAGTTCCCCCCATGCTGGCTCAGGAATTCTGGGAGTTGAAGTCCACGAGTCATGAAGGGGCTAAACTTTCCCCAATGCTGACTCAGGAATTCTGGGAGTCACTTGTCTGAGATGATATAGGTTCTCCTGCCTGAGCAGGAGGCTGGACTAGAAGACCTCCAAGGTCCCTTCCAATTCTATTCTATTCTATTCTATTCTATTCTAATTCTGAATTCTATTTTATTCTATATTTCTATTCTATATACCGTACTCTATTCCTATTCTATTCTATTCTATTCTATTCTATTCTATTCTATTCTCTATTCCATATATTCTATTCTATTCTATTCTATTCTATTCTATTCTATTCTATTCTATTCTATTCTATTCTATTCTATTCTATTCTATTCTATTCTGTTATGTTCTGTTCTATTATTCTATTCTATTCTATTCTATTCTATTCTCTATTCCATATATTCTATTCTATTCTATTCTATTCTATTCTGTATTTTATTATTCTATTCTATTCTATTCTATTCTATTCTATTCTATTCTATTCTCTATTCCATATTTTCTATTCTATTCTATTCTATTCCATTCCATTCCATTCCATTCTGTAATTCCATTCTATTCTAAATTCTCTTCCGGGGCTGCCTGGGAAATGGCAGCTTGTGCCTCCGAGAGGTTTGTTCCTCTTGAGGTGGTTCCTCTTGAGTCCCAGATGTGATGCCTAAAGTAGCTCTGGACGTGCTTCTCCTTCCCTGGGCCCTGCCCTTCTTGGGTGGGACCTTCCCAGCAGTGACAAATTGGTCCCTGGGGAGGGGGGGGCTGACCTTGAGAAGGCTCCATCGAGGCATCCTTCACCACCGCCAGAGAGCCCTCGCCTTCTCCAGCCACAGAGCGGGCCTCCTCCTGCGGGGGAGCAGGGGAGGGTCCTCCTCAGGGAGAAGATCTGGGTGGGGCCAGGACGGGGGTCTTAGCAGGGGAGCTGAGGGGCTTGGGAAGCTGGACTTGGAGACTCCCAGGGCCTTCATGGAGGATGTGTGTTAAAGGCACCCGAGAAGGAAGGAAGGAAGAATTTACTGGGGGGATTTAAATTGCCAGCCGTGCACGGGGAGAGACGGGGGAAATGATCCTGCAAGGTAAGATGGTTTAATAACAATTTCAGTTCTGCAAGTTTTCTGGGTTTGTGTCTGCATGTGTGTCTGAAAGAGAGAGACAGAGAGAGAAAGAAGGAGAGACAGAATAACAGAACAACAGAATAATGGTAGGGACCTTGGAGGTCTTCTAGTCCAATCCCCCACTCAGGCAGGAGACCCTGTGCCATTCCAGACAAATGGCTGCCTAGTCTCTTCTTGAAAACCTCCAGCAGTTGAGCCTCCACAATTTCTGGTGGCAAACTGTTCCACTGGTTAATCGTCCTCACTGTCAGGAAGTTTCTCTCTTAGTTCCAGGTTGCTTCTCTCCTTGATGAGTTTCCATCCGTTGCTTCTTGTCCTGCCTTCAGGCGCTTTGGAGAATAGCTTGACTCCCCCCCTCTTCTTTGGGGCAGCCCCTCAGATATTGGAACACAGCTATCATTCTGCAGTTGCATATATTTTGTGGGGGGGGGGGTTTACATTTTTGCAGTCATTCATGTTTACTTGCAACTTGTCATCTGCTGGTTGATAACAGAAAGAAAACGGTGGCTAGAACTGCACAACTCTCGGTGCCGGGTGGGGGAGGGCTGTTATGGTGTGATTGTGGCTTAGTGTCGCTCCTCTCACGCCTACCTCTTCCTTCCCCACTTCTTCCTTCAACGACAGCCCTGTGGGGTGGGTGAGTGTGGCCCAGAGAGTTTCCAGGGCTGAGGTTGGAACCGAACGGGGGTCTCTTGAATCCTCCCCCCGCCCCCCGACTTACAACATTTCATTTAGTGACCGTTCAAAGTTACAAAGGGGACTTAAGATTGCTTTTCACATTGATGACCGTTGCAGCCTCCCGCCCAGTCTCGTGATCAGAATTCAGGCGCTCGGCAACCGACTCGTATTTATGACCGTTGCAGCGTCCCAGGGTCACGTGATCCCCTTTTGCGAACACCCGACAAGCAAAGTCAAGGGGGGGGGAAGCCAGATTCACTTAACAACCATGTTGCTAACTTAATAACTGCAGTGATTCACTTAAAAATTGTGGCAAGAAAGGCTGTAAAATGGGACAAAACTCACTTAACAACGATGTCTGGCTTAGCAACGGAGATTTTGGGCTAACCTGTGGTTGTAAGTCAAGGACCACTTGTAAGGTGTGGCTCCAGCCCATGGTGGCTTAGCAATTAAGGAGAAACTTCCTAACAGTGAGAACAATTAACCCGTGGAACCACCTGCCTCCAGAAGCGGTGAATGCTCCAACACTGGAAGTTTTTAAGAAGAGACTGAACAGCCATTTGTCTGAAATGGTACAGGGTTTCCTGCCTGAGCAGGGGGTTGGACTAGATGACCTCCAAGGTCCCTTCCAACTTTATTATTATTATTATTATTATTATTATTATTATTATTATTATTATTATTATTATTATTCAAGCCATGGCTTAGCTGGTCAATCGGTTGCACAGAGGTCTCTATAGGCCCCAGGGACCAGCCCCCTGGCCCCCTCCTGGCTGCTGTCCATCACCCCGCGAGCCATGGGCCCCACCCACCCCCCGCCGGGCTCCCCTGCCAGGGCTGCAACTCTTTTCTGGGGAGTGGGCACAGAGCAGGTGGGTTCCGGCATCACCCCGTCTCCTTGCAGTTCCAACTCTGCCTTCTTTCCTTTCCGCAGACTTGAGCCCCGGAGCCCCGGATGCCACCCTGGCGATGCCCTTCCGGAATGAAAGCCTTGGCAGCCCCTCCTCCTTCACCCTGAGGGGCCTGCCCGGCCTGGAAACTGCCCACTTCTGGCTGGCGTTCCCCCTGTGCGCCATGTACGTGGTGGCCCTGGTGGGCAACTCCGTCGTGGTGCTGGTGATAAAAACGGAGCCTGCCCTCCACACGCCCATGTACTTCTTCCTGGGCATGCTGGCAGGGGTGGACTTGGCGCTGGCCTCCTGCACGATGCCCAGGCTCCTTTCCCTCTTCTGGCTTGATGCCAAGGAGATCGCCTACAGGACCTGCCTCCTCCAGATGTTCTTCATCCACTCCCTTTCGGGCATGGAGTCCACCATCCTGCTGGCCATGGCCGTGGATCGGTACGTGGCCATCTGCCGCCCGCTCCAGTACTCCACCATCCTCACCAACTCTGTGACGGTCAAAGTGGGCATCATGGCTCTGGTGAGAGGGGTGGTCTTCTTCCTTCCTCTGCCCTTCCTCATCAACCGGCTGTCCTTCTGCAACAGCCGGGGTCTCCGGCATTCCTACTGCCTCCACCAAGACATGATGAACCTGGCGTGTGACGAACACACCCTGAACAGCGTCTACGGCCTGGTGGCCATCAGCCTGGTGATGGGCCTGGACTTCCTGCTCATCCTGGTCTCCTACCTGCTGATCCTGAAGGCCGTCCTGGGGCTGAGCTCCTGGGAGCAGCGCCTCCGAGCCTCTGGCACCTGCGTGGCCCACCTCTGCATGGTGCTGGCCTTCTACGTGCCCCTGATCGGCCTCTCGGTCATCCACCGGTACAGGAAGGACGCGCCTCCCCTGCTCCAGGCCCTCATGGGCAACATCTACCTCCTGGTTCCACCCGTGCTCAACCCCATCGTCTATGGGGCCAGGACTAAAGACATCCGAAAACGGGTCTTAAAGTACATGAGACTCAGCAGGAACAGAGAGCCTCACTGAAGTCGGTTGTGTGTAGAGAACCAAGTGGGTTTGGGCTTTCTTATTCCCAGGGGAAGGCAGATGGAGACCGACCACACCTGGAGTCCATTGGGTCCCACGTCAACTGCCATCTTCCACAGGTCCCTGCAGCCTTCCTGTTGCGGTGGCCAAAATCCTAATTTTTGACCTACTTGTGGAGGCTGAGACTCCCCTGACTCTCCGATCCCTGAACTGCACAAACTGACCCCAGGATGGACATTGCTAGCCCTTCTTCTGCACCTTTGCTCACCACAGCTGGACCCTCAGCTTCTTCTAGGATGCCTGCATGTCCCTGTCCCCCATTATCAGAGGAGGCCTTATCACCCCAGAAGAAGATCTCCAGGGGATCAAGTGATAATCCTCCAGCTTCTCTATAAAATTAATCATTAAATGATGATGATGATGATGATAAAAAGGAGGAGGAGGAGGAGGAGGAGGAGGAGGAGGAGGAGGAGGAGGAGGAGAAAGAGGGCTTCAAAACTTATGAAATCTGAGAGATCCCTAGAATCCATCTACTGAAGCTTCCGTCTCTTGCTTGAGGTCCATGCAACATGAAGGACTGAGATGGTGGTCGGGGAAAGATATTGGTCAAAAAGGGACCTCCTTGAGGGGCTGGCAGGGAGCAGCCTGGAAGAGTGGTCCTCTGCCTCTTTTCTAAGGACCGTTTCCTCCTGGACTGGACACTACCTCAAAGGCTGCAGGAACTCCAGAACTTAATTCCAGAACTTCCTAAACTGAGGGCTCCTTTTTGTGATGACATTTAACCAAGTGAAGGCCGTACAGAAATGTTTTGTGTCCACCTGAAAATAAACCTGCTCCTTCCAGCTGGCCTCTGTTTGGCTCTGCTTAGAAGTGTGTCTATCCTGTCTAGCACAGTTGAGGACGGAGGTACCTCACGGCTCCCAGGAAGATCACACACCTGTGTCTGTGGTTAGAACAATTAACTAGTGGAACAGCTTGCCTCCAGAAGTTGTGGGTGCTCCATCACTGGAGGCTTTTAAGAAGAGACTTGACAACCACTTGTCTGAAATGGCATAGGGTCTCCTGCTTGAGCAGGGGGCTGGACTAGAAGACCTCCAAGGTCCCTTCCAACTCTGGTGTTCTGTCCCAATCCTTTCAGAGTGGGGTTCCCAGGGGTGGTGTCATCACATCGCCAGCCTCCGTGCAATCCAATTCCTCAAATGGGGTGCTTTTCTACTTTCCTCTTCCCATTTCTGAATATTGAGAAGTGAATAATATGAAGATGACCCGTCCATCTTTCCACCTGTCCATTAGGATAACCTGAGCAAAACAGGGCCAATTTTTGTGGCAGGAGATGCTGGCTAAAGAAAAAAACTGGGTTTTAGTCGGCTGGGGGCCACCAAGGTAAAGAATTCCTTCCCCCCCCCCAGGTGTTGCTCAGGCACAGGGGAGAAGCAATTGGGCAGCAGCTCCATAGTCTGTCCTAAGTCCCCCTCCACATCCGTGCGACGCTGAGTGGGGCAAATGCAGCTTGTCTGGAGCCCTGCAACCCAGAGAGACCCATAAGCCATATAAGACCCATAAGACCCCCATGGAGGAAAGGACTGGGGAGACCTCCAGAGGAAAAGTCTCCACGTTTTCCTTACGGACTTGTCCGCCTGCCTGCCTGCGTAGAGGAGGGGTCTCCAACCTTGGCAGCTTTTAAGGCTTGTGGACTTCAAGGGGAGTCCCCTGAAAGGGGATCATGTGGACTGGAGAACGCTAGAAGCTGAAGTCCACAAGTCTTAAAAGTTGCCAAGCTTGGAGACCTCTAGTTTATAGCAAGAGTATAACTGGCTATTTTAAAACCAACTTTGGGCGGCTTGCATCCAACGAAGCATAGAACATAGAATAATAGACTTGGGAGGGACCTTGGAGGTCTTCTAGTCCAACCCCCTTCTCAAGCAGGAGACCCTGTACCATCTCAGACAAAGAGGCTGTCCAGCCTCTTCTTAAAGGCCTCTGGGTTACCTCGTGGGTGTTGAAGACCTCCGTTCATCAAGGGGACCAATTACAGAGGAAGCAACATCCAACGAAGACAGGAAGCAATCAAAGGTGGGTAACAAAGGACGGAACGGAACGCCATCAAACGTTTCATGAAACTGGGGGCAGTTCATCCGCGGGGAACTTATACCCTTGTCACGATAAACAAATTACATATCGTTAGACTGCAATCATAAAACAAAAATAACGATGCATCTCAACGCCAGAGAAAGCCTTTGGCCCCCCCACTCAGGCACCCCGTCTTTGGCGTGCAGCCGATAGGAACCTGACACCTGAATTTGAGACAGAGAATTTTACCTTTGCAAAGGGGATTCTCTCCCCGTGCGAAAATACGAATCACCAAATAATTCAGGCGACGCAAAAAGCATTTATTCAGGAGGCAGAGTCAGGTTCTCACACCCCAAAAGAAATTGGCTTGGCCAAGAAGGAGAAAAATAACGCGTTCTCCTGAAGTTAGAAAAGAGGCCGAGAGGGCCAGGTTAGAAGTGTTTATATAGCACCTTTTAAAAATAATAATAATAATGGAGCCTAAACTTCCATACAGGGTTCTTAGCCTGGTCTGCCTTCAATCAAACTAGGATCTGAGCCGGAAAGGTAGAACGATACATCTTTATTTATGCATAAGTAACATTAGAGCCTAGAAAATGAATGAAAATAAATAAAAAGCATTGATCAAAGGTGCTCCTTGTTACTGAGAATAACTACTCAAAGAGGCCTCCTTATCTTCCCCCCCATAACCCCCCCCCCATGCTTGGAGGGGGGCTTTAGATATTGGGGGCTCTCTGCAAAGATAAAGGGGAGGGGGCTTGTTTTCCGCCAGACCCTCATCTGGACAATGCACACTCCAGTCGGCCATAATTACTGCCACCGGCTATGCCAGGGATAGGCAACCTTGGCTCTTTTATGACTCGTGGACTTCAATTCCCAGAATTCCTGAGCCAGCCGTGCTGAGGGGAAAGGGAGAAGTTTCCAAGCTAAGCCATGTTGGCCCAGGAACTCTGGGAGTTGAAGTCCCCGAGTCATAAAAGAGCCAAGGTTGCCTATCTCTGGCCTATGCCCTGCCAGGCCCACGGGAGCGTCTCATATCCCGGCCTAGCTTGCAAAAAAAGCCCCCCAGCCCCGTTGCAAAGGTGCCCCCCAGGCTGGGAGGGTCCTGCCTCCAGAGGGCTAAAATCAGAGAGGAGCCCCTCGTGGTCAGTCGCGACCCTATCAAGGCGCCCGGATGACCCTGCCCGGAACACCTCAGTGCCAGCTACACAAATCGGCCCACCTTGCAAGGCCCCAGAGAAGGTTGTGACAAGGCCGGAAGAGAGCCCGGCTCTAACCCTGAGCCTCCAGGGGGGGTCCTGGGGGGGTCACTCTGCCACCTGATGGTGCCCCGGCTCTGGAAAGCCCAGAAGTGGGCTGGTCTTTGGAATAGAGGCGCCTTCTTTGGGGGGGGGCTCTCAGACTCCCCCACTTATTTGTCTGTCTTTCTTTCTTTCTTTCTTTCTTTCTTTCTTTCTTTCTTTCTCTTTCTCTCTCTCTCCCTTCCTCCCTCCCTTTCTTTCTTTCTTTCTTTCTTTCTCTTTCTTTCTCTCTCTCTCTCTCTTTCTCTCTCTCTCTCTCTCTCTCCCCCTTCCTCCCTCCTTCTTTCTTTCTTTCTTTCTTTCT